TTTTGACCTGTGCTGTTGTTTCAAAATTTCTTCTCTTTTATTTTTTTTTTTTGCATTGGAAAAATTTTATCACAAAAACCGAGTTATTTTATAACAAATACAAAATACTTATGAAGATTATTTTCATTTATATTTAAAGTGTATTCTTCATCTTTTTTTACTTATCACTGTAAAAATGTTCATAGAATTGAATTCAAAGTAAAAAGATTAGTAATATAATTAAAATAAAATCTTCCTATTATTATTAAATAATATTATAAATCGAAGAATATAATAAGATGATAAGTATCATAATGGAAATGGTCGATCAACTGTAAATTTATCCCCCACCATAGTCAAACGTGATGCTCGTATCTTCCGCTTTTGGTATTTCCGGTCTAAACTTGGATTAATAGTCGCGAACGATTAAACGATCGAGCCGTTATGCGATCGTTCGCGTGTCGACAGGAAGTACTACGATAATAGTTTGACGATACAATAGACCAATGACGTACACGGAGTTGTCTTTGACAATGAAATGTAATGCCGAACGTTTCTTCTATTGGTAGAAATTTATTAGCTTTTTTTTCTTTCTTTCTTTCTTTATCTATTATGGATAAGAATGATGTTACTTTGTCTTGAAAAAAAAAAAACGCCAGAACAAAAATTAACGTTCTTTTTTAAACAAATTATACTATATATATATATATTTTTCATATTATTTAATTTCTTAAAAATTATGTATTTTTTGTTTTTAAAAGACTCACGTTTAATACCAGAAAGATCCAAAAAATTAGGTCTGTTCTTTCTTCTAGCACGAGGTGTCTCACAAGTTGCAGCCATGTTAGTTACAAATGTTTTGTCAATTTAAAAAATCCTTTGTTCATAACTTGATAACTTCTTTTTTTTTTAAATCTCCCTTCCCCCTTAGCCCCTTCCCTTTTACCCTCCCCACTCCTCCACGACACTTCGTTTTTTTTTTTTTATACAAAACCTTTTTGACGTTATTTTTTATATTCAATGATCAAAGATTACAAATGTTATTTAATATTTAATATTGTTTATAAAAGATAAGAAAAAACTGATTATATCTATTCATGGAATGAAATTCTTCCATTGTCGAGAGACGACTGGTTGGAAACGTTGGTTCGTTGGTTACTACCCATAACCAATCGGTAAAACTCTCCTCTCGTCGTTTAATTCGTGATATAACCCCTACCTTCGGCTAACAGAAAAAGAGAGAGAGAGGGAGAGAGAGAGACACCATTTTCGTGCCATTGTTCCTTCATCGTGTTACGGATTAGGCCATGTCCATAATTATTGAACATGCTACTAAAATATTAAACGGATGACCCGAAAAGCTAATACAACACACGAAATGGCATTGTATTTATTTATGAAATTAATCCGTTTAAATGATGAGAAGATGATGATTTCTAATGCAACAATGTGTACAATAATCATTATTTTAAATAACAATACAAATTTAAACGTGGTTATCATCATAACGTTGATGTGCAAAATTTCAACGTGTGACTAATTGTTTATAAAACAAAATGTTCCCTTTAGTTAAAAACAAAATAAAAGAAAAACCTGGTTTATTTGGGTTAGATATTTAGATGATTTTTTTTTTCTTGTACCATTTGTAATTATATCAAATATACAAGAAGAATGATATTAGTACAACGTGACTAATTGTTTATATATATAAATTTGACTTAAAAACCAAGACACACACACAGAGAGAGAGAGAGAGAGAGAGAGACCTAAAGTGAGCTATTTGGTTAAGACTTTTGAAAAACGGAAACGTTTGTTAACGATCTGTAACAAATCATGTCTAACCCCTTAGGATTGGTACGTTAAAACGAGAGAAATAAACTTCGTCCGGTCTTTTCAGAAATACGGAAGTCTGGTGGAATAAACCTAATACATAGTGAAACACACTTTAATGGTTAACTGACACGTAGAAAGACTCCCGCTGCTTCTTCTTCTTCTTCTTCTGCTCTTTTTTTCCTATTCATATATTCCAAGATACGTATACTAACAAAAATTTACATTTTCCAGCGTAAAATATACGATAAGAAAAGATAGGTAGAAGAGGTGAAGAAGAAAAAAAATAAAAAAAAAAATAAAAATAAAAAAAATATGCTGTGTGGCGCCGCTTATATAACGTAATCTAGTAGCTTAGGTAGGTAAAAGACAAGAGGGATAAGAAAAGATATGTAAATGGTAAAAGGGGTCTGGACTTGTGTCAGAGAAGAAGAAGAAGCAGCAGAAGAAGAAAAAGAAGAAGAAGGAGGAGGGGAATAGAGGACTCCTAAGAGAGGGGGAAAGAGAGAGGAGGAATAGTGCAATGGAGGATAGAATGGATGAAGAAGAGGAGAGTTGAAAGGAGAAGGGAGTAGACGCACAAACACGGTGGCACCTGGATTCCATTTGTATTCCTGCGCATAGTCGGTGAATGTTTGCATCCACTTAGCATACTGCATATCCTGCATTGGGAACATCAGGATAATAAGCTGCCTTCCTCTTCTTCTTCTCCTCCTCCTCCTCCTCCTCCTCTTCATCCCACCCCCTTCCCTTCCCAGCCCCTCCTTCCCTTTCTTTCTTTCTTTCTTTATCTTTCCCTCTTTTTCTCATTGCATGCACAGAAATATCTTTCGCATGGAATTCGCGAAGGACGACTCGTTCGAATATATGTATGTATATATAAACAAAATATATACATATATATGTATATATATGTATATATGCTATGGCGCTTGTGCTACTCGTTTGATTGACTTCTACCGATTGCCAATCCCGACATTCTCGTTTGCATTGACGTTAAATAAACGCATTTAGTTATTGCATGTTTTCATACGTACATTTTCTTTCACTTCCGATTGATTATCATTGATACTCACGTAGTAGTATACAATGCTGAGTTTCTCCAATTGATTTTTCTTTTTTCTTTTTTTTTTTTTTTACGAGCTATCTTTGTTTCTCGTATTAATTTAACAAATGTATTTTGTTGTGTATATATATATATATATATATTATATTCTTATTTTATTTATTTATAATTATATTTTTTGAATATGTATATATGAATAAGAAATATCATCGATATATGTGCCCATAATTATGAAAGTGGTTTAAGTCATGTATCCTCCTCTTGTTTCGAGATATTTAACCTTTTCGCTATGGGCATATTTTCCGCGTTGCTACTTCTACTATACGGGCTGCTAATACATGCAGCATCATCGAAATTGCAATTTATTTTTAAGTAATTTTGTTGTTGATATTAACGATTTTTAATCAAAAGAAACAAAACACTAAAATTACATGTCCAGTGTGGGATATTTGACGTGTTATAACTGTATATGTTCGTCGTATGTAAAATACGCGATATTTTATGGAGGGCCACTATAGTGGTCCGTAGTAGCGAAAAGATTAAAGATTTCTATTTGAACATTATATGAATTCTATGTAATATTAAAAAAGAAACAAACATTATCTAACTTTTTCAAATGATTAGGTCGAGTCGTAAATAACTTCCGTTTTTTTAATCAGACAAAGAATGGCGTTTCTGCGACTGATAAGTGCAAGATACCTTTCATGGAGTTTTTTTTTTTTTGCACTCTTTGCAATTGTTCAACGTATCTAGTGAATTTTGCTCCAATATTACCTTTAAAAGGTTCGTCAAAGTCGGAAATACGTCTTGCATTCGGTTCATCTTTTAAGATCGTATTTACAGAACGGAATTTTACAAACCAATTTCTGACTGCCCTATCAGTTATCAGTCCTGCACTGTATACGCTGCATATTGTTTCAGTTGCCACCTTAGTGCTATTATCTTGTTTCAATTTCTAAAGCATTACATGTTGAATATGCACTTTTTGAAGTGAAAACTTCTTTAGAATGGGTGTGATTTGAAAAAATGTAACGGAGTGGTAGGCGGCTATGTAACGGAGCGGTAGGCGGCAATGAAACGGTCGCAACACTAAATAAGAAGAGAATACAATTATCCTACAGCAGATATTTTGTATTCGTTTCATTTTCTCGAAACTTAGTTTTTTCAAGATTTCACTTCTAATACGTATGATCTGCACACATGTTTCTTTGTTTCCTTTTTTTTGAAGTGAAAACTTCTTTAGAATGGGTGTGATTTGAAAAAATGTAACGGAGTGGTAGGCGGCTATGTAACGGAGCGGTAGGCGGCAATGAAACGGTCGCGAAACTAAATAAGAAGAGAATACAATTATCCTACAACAGATATTTTTATTTTCTATTCGTCTCATTCTCTCGAAACTTAGTTTTTTGAAGATTTCACTTCTAACACGTGTGATCTTTACTATCCATTTCAATGGTTAAGAAAAATGGTTAAATGTAACATTGACTGTATAAAAAAAGTTAACAGAAGATTAACTAAATCCTCATCTATAGATTGATTTCGAAAATCCGTTTGTTTCGGTGACTTATAATAGGTAAATACGAAAAATAGATTCTACATAACCGCATCGGAAGTTACTTATGACTCGACCTAATACATTGAATTTATTAAACTCATTTTTTTTTTTTTTTTTAATTTTGACTGTGTTAGACCACTTTCATAATTATGGGCACATATATAAGTAGTTTGATTAATTATTATTAATAAAATATACGACATAGAATTTTCGGATAGTATTAACACTAGATTTACGGATGTTTTGTTCATTATTTTTTAATGACGTAATAACATTGTTTGAATGTAGGGTTGAGTAAAGGAATGGAACTAATATTTACGTATATTTCATTACGTAACTAAAAACCAATATAAGTTTTAAAAAAATAGTATTTAAATTTTATAAATATAAAAAATAATCAAATGTTCAATGAGTCAAATTGTCTCAATTCGTAAAACTAGTGTTAAAGTTATAAATTAGAAATAATGATACGTTAATTAATATGCAGTTGTAAAATAAAAATTTGTATATAAAATTAATAAGTGAATAAAAAAAAAAAAAAAAATAATAATAAATCAACAAACACTTTACCAAAATATTCGATGCTCCGTTTAACGAATTGATTTTCTTCCTTGATTCTCATCTCGCGATCCTTATCCCAAACTTGATGATCCAAATCGTCGCTTTTCTTTCTTTCACATGTAAACGACGACATTTCTATGCAAAGTCGTATAAAAAAAAAAGTTCCTTTTGTTTTATTCGTCACAGATGATGACACACATTCCTTTTTTATTTTCTCTAAAGAGAGAGAGAGAGAGAGAGAGAGAAAGAAAGAAAGAAAGAAAGAAAGAGAAGAATAGAGAACAAGAGAATAAAGAGTGAGAGAGAGACAGAGAGAGAGAGAGAGAGAGAGAGGGAGAGAGAAAATAAACTAGCAATAGAAATAAATAATACACGGAAAAACGTTGGGGTTTTTTTTTTTTTAGATAAAAACTTAAAAAAAGATGAGAAAAATCAAGAGTAAAGTCAGCCTCGGGCGTGACGCGCCACGTTACTGAATGTTTCTTATGAGAGGGTGTCCAACAGGACGCGTTCAAAAGAGGGATGGGTAATGCGCATGCGCTTCTCGTGCGCATCTACACTCCATCTCTTTCTTTCTTTCTATATCTCTCGTCTATATCATTCTTATTCTCTCTCTCTCTCTCTCTCTCTCTTTCTTTCTTTCTCTCTTTCTCTCTTTTTCTTACTTATTGTCTATAGTATTTTGTCGGTAGTAATTTCAAAACCACGTGGGTTCACTGAAATTCCCTATGATATTGTTTAGGAAAATGAAGAAGAAAAAAAAAACAATAAAAGAAATAGATACCGTTAAGTTTTATACGTTTTATGGTTTTAGAGATAAACATATATATATATATATATTTTTTTTTTGTCGTAACCATGATATATCTATCTAGATCTTATATTTATTTACATTTTTTTTTTATCTTATCTTCTTTTTTTTTGTGATTTCTAAAATATTCGAAGCTAGGAAAAGAAATCCTGTCTACCAGAAAAATCGTTCTCTTTGTTGTGAAATAAAAAATGTAACGATGATGCGGGTAGGTAAATATCTATATATCTATATATATATA